GACGAGTTCGGCGGCGACACGATACTGCATCCTCCAGAGTCCGGCACTCCTGCCATTTTTCATGTCGGTGCACCGTGGGCGGTGGAGCAGGGGTTGGCGGAGGAGGTGGCACGGAACCGTCATGGTGGACCGCACGTCGCAGCTGAACGTAGTCTGGAAGGTTCACTAGAGGCAGCATCTGGAGATTTTTTGGCGCAGGGGGGTCATGGTTCGCAGCTGTTATCGGACGGCGTGTCATCAGTCCATCCACCAGAGGAGGGTCCGCAGCAAGAGCCACATCGAGGGCCAGCGGAGACTTTAGAGGCGAGGCCTCCCGGAGTTATCCGCTCGGACGGAGGCGAGGGCGTGAGCGAGGATACAACGCCGCCAGGGAGCACAGATGGTGGACGGTCCTTCAGGGGGGGCATCGAGCGCAGAGGGTCATCGACCTCACACCCCAGCATTGTCAGGCCCAGCACACATGACGTTGGAGACGGGCACACAGATGAGCCTTGACCGCATTTGACGGGGATGCGTGACATTATGTGTCCACCACCCTCATGCCCCTCTGCCGCTGATCCTGCCGCCCACAGGTAGGCCGCGCCGAGCGCATTGCATACAAGGTCTTTCTACGACGGTGCGGGCATGGAACGGAGGGCGGGCAATATCGGACAGACATCAGCATATGGATCGGCAGATGTGCCCGCGGGGGCGAGATCGATCGGCAACGTCGATGACAATTGTCATGATTCCATAAGAGCTTACGAGGAGCAGCATGGGAGGCCTATACGGGCCAAGACGAGCGATGTCAACGGCACCAGGACGACAACTGCGCGGCTGTCACAGGCGAGGAAGAAGGGAACAGGTGTGTCGATTCCGTATCACCGGCACCGCCTGCATCCTTTTTTCCGCAACAGGGACGAGACCAGACAGATGCCAGCTGCCGTCGATGGACAGTGGGGGGCGGAGGGGGGTGACAGAGTGGACGAAGCAGGTTGAGGTGAGAAGAGACGAGGCGGCACGATCATCCTCCACGACGACAGCTCCACAGCCGCTGAGGGCAGTAAGACCACAGGCGCCGACGATCCTGATGACTCCGATTACGTTCCGAGGATCCGTACGGCGGACGGAGATGACGGCGGAGGTCGTCGCGTGAGGATGAGGACTAGACCTGGCCCGGATGGTCATTGCACCCCAGCGGCACATTTGCCGCCTATTGATCGACGGGCGCAAGCTCGTTCTCTGTTGCGCAGACTGGGGGAGCAAAGACAGGCACGAGGGACATCACTGCCACATCAGCAGCCGGGGGGGGAATCCC